ATGTGTAGTTGAAATGCGACGATGAATCGAGAAGGTAATATCTCTCTCTCTCTCTCTCTCTCTCTCTCTCTCTCGAAACGTATGAGAAAAATTTAAAGCCTCCTGTTGAGTGCCGCTAATGATAGCCGATGTACCAGCCAGAATATTCTTAAAAGATGCTCTCGTCGTTTCTCGCGAGATTACACTGAAGCTCGCGTACGCGAGTTTCGGTGTAATTTTCAATAATTCCCCTACGTCCGAAGATCGAACGATTTGGTCGATCGTTCATTGGGCCACCCGTTGAGAGAAGAGAGTCTCGCTCTCTTCCTCAAGACGTCTTCAGCGGCACAAAGGTGCCGGCATCTTATATGCTGGCAACAGGTGCTTGTATCTTATGCAGATAAGGTCGAGGTGCTCGAGGGTCAGCCCACTCAGGGTAAAGGTCGCGTTGCCTCCTCTCTCTCTCTCTCTCTCTCTTTCTCTCTGGTTCTTTCGTCTCCTTTTCTCCCGCAGCTCCTTCCACCTGCGACCGGCCCTCTCGTGCAGGTAGTCCCCTACGGGGAATTGAGACGTTCGCCGACATCGGCGCTCGCGACTCCCACGCGACTAAACGCGCCGGCAAAAGTTTTGTCCTGGTTCTTCTCCTTCTCTCTCTCTCTCTCTCTCTCTCTCTCTCTCTATTACCGATAAAAGACGGAAAAATATAGGAAAAGCGAAGATCATTCAAGGAACATGGACGATTTTACACGATTCGCAGGATGCCGAGAGACCGCCTTCATCTACGCCATCATGAGCGCAGCTGTGACTCATAGCATCGCGAGAGCATGCAGCGAGGGCAGCATCCAGTCATGTTCATGCGACTATACCCACCAATCGCGCGCACCCTCTGCCGTTCGAGACTGGGAATGGGGTGGGTGTTCGGACAACATCGGATACGGCATCAAGTTTTCCCGCGAGTTCGTCGATACCGGAGAACGCGGCCGAAATCTCCGGGAGAAAATGAACCTCCACAACAACGAGGCCGGTCGAGCGGTAAGTCTCTCTTATTTCTATCGATAATTAAATCCGGACTCTTGGACTTTCTAATTCCAATGAGATAATCTATAAAGACTTAACTTTATGTCAATGAAAGCTTCTGTGAATTAGCGAAAGTGGAATTTATCTACATTCTCCACGACTTTATTCCTATCGTAACAGTGCGAAATTTACCGCGCGTGCCTTATCGAAACTCTTATAATATCCATTTGGGTTTTCGAGTCTTTCGGTGCCGACTCGCCTCTCAGTCGCACCCACCTTCTCATTTCTTTTATTCGAATATCGCGATATCCTTTTCGTTGACCGCTTTGGAATGCCGCGCTTCCAAGGAGAAACGCAGCGCGATAGTAGCTTCACGTGAGCGCGCGCGCGCACCCTAGAGAGAGAGAGAGAGAGAGAGAGAGAGAGAGATGGCTCGACGATTCGTTCTGTTGCAGCACGTATTCTCGGAGATGCGACAAGAGTGCAAGTGCCACGGCATGTCCGGTTCCTGCGCGGTAAAGACCTGCTGGATGAGACTACCCAACTTTCGCGTGGTCGGCGACAATTTGAAGGATCGCTTCGACGGAGCATCCAGAGTGATGGTTAGCAATTCGGATCGAGTACGAGGCAATAGCAACGCTATCGTGAGCAACTCTGCGAGCAATTCGGTTCATGGGCACCGAGATGGTCTTGGACGTCGTCATCGTTACAATTTCCAACTTAAACCGTACAATCCTGAACACAAACCACCGGAGCCCGAGGACCTCGTCTACTTGGATCCTTCCCCGCCGTTCTGTGAGAAGAATCCGAAACTCGGAATTCTTGGTACGCACGGCAGACAATGCAACGACACGAGCATCGGTGTCGACGGTTGCGATCTCATGTGTTGCGGAAGAGGTTACAAGACTCAGGAAGTGACGGTGATGGAAAGGTGCGCGTGTATCTTCCACTGGTGTTGCGAAGTCAAGTGTCAACACTGCTGGAGGAAGAAGACGATACACACGTGTTTGTAAAGAGAGACAGAGAGAGAAAGCGAGAGAGAGAGAGCGAGAGAGCGAGAGAGAGAGAAAGAGAGAGAGAGAGAGAGCTCTTCGTATTACGAAATTATCGCTTTCCGGGCAAATGCCGAGAAAAGAATACACGAGAAAGAGAATATCTCTGCTAGCTTACTCTCTTTCCCTCTAAAGGACCGATTCCTTCCTGGTGAAGGACATTCCGAGTCTCTCGAGAAGCTCGAATGTCGAGGCTCCTCCTCCTCCATTCTCCTCCGCCTCCTCCTCAGTATTACGCGACACGATCTAAACTCTTAACTATATATTTATTTGCGATCTATTAAAGACTGACTCCAAATGCCCAGGATCGTTCTCGAGCGATTCTCGATCCATCTTATCGAAGACATTAAATGTCGACGATCGAGGTTGCGTTTCGTTTGTAAATACAGGATTAGAGATTAGACGATAAGGACGACGAAGTTATTCCGAATGCCTGCGCGAGCTTTTACGAGGAAAACAATAACAATCCGTTTATTTATTTTCAACGACCTCTTTATTCCCCTTCTTTTCTTATTTTTTATTGACGCGCGCGCTAAAGCCGAACGCGTCTATCTGTACGTCTACGCTGCGTGTATGTATGTATGTATGTATGTATGTATGTATGTGTGCGTGCGTGCGTGCGTGTCTGTACATAGACGGAGTACGATCCTAAAGGTTTTTAAAAAAGTATTATAAAATATGCGTGAAGCTACCATTGTAAATAATCCTTAGGCTCGTAATCCAAACCGGTCGATAAGTTATTTCTTGCGGATCCTCTTCTCTTGATTTTAAATTTAAGAAAATCATTACCAGTGTCGAATACTTTGGCCTATATTTTTTTTCCTTCTTCTTTTCTTCTTCTTACCTTTCAATCGAGAAAATGGTGATTTCAATAATGTGCATAATAGATGTATTAATTATTATTATTATTAATCCTAATTTATACGAATAAAGATATCGACGAATAAACGATGTAAATGAAACGTACAATCTCTATATTTATACAATCCTCTAACTTATTTCAATTCCTTTCTAGCGGATAAATTCTTCTCCTAGAAGGACTCGATAAAGCGAAATATGCGCTTTCGAAGTCGGAGAATGTTTCGAGATCGCGGATCTTCGTGACGAGATCTACGAACCTCTCTCGATCTTTGGCCCTCCCTCGGGGCAATGTCGTAGAACCATTCAATATTTTCCCATTACACGATGCGCGCACATCGATGTAACGACGCGAAATATGGCCAACTGGTTCTCCAGCTGGACGACTTCATAATTCCTCCGAGGAATATCGTGGGAGGCCCCTAACCCGTGGAGACTGGTTCGACTCTCTCCTCTTTCTCTCCTCGTTCTTTCCTCGTCGCGTTCTTTCCCTCTCTCTCTCTCTCTCTCTCTCTCTCTCTCTCTCTCTCTCTCTCTCTCTCTGTTTGCCTGTTCGCTGGCAGCTACTCTCTCACGAGCGTTCGCCGCGCAGCGATCCTCCCCACCTTGCCCCGTGCTGCACGCGATGATAACGACCGAGGAATCCCGCAGGAATCCTTGCTCGGGATAAAAGAATTCCGACCGTGTACAAACAGGGATCCACGCTAATGCTTCCGACACTCTTACCAACAAACTTTTCCTTTTCCTTTCTAATCCTTTTTCTCCATTTCAATATCGTTTCACCTCCAAAGACTGCGCGTGCACGATATTCCTTCTCCGTTGTTGTATCTACCTCCGATTCGATCGTGGACACGGCCGTCGGTCCTGCCGTTTGGTATTTCCAACTCTAAGTGCATTCCGAGACTCGAGGAAGTCGGGCTAATTCTTATCCAACGCAGAAATTGTTAGCAGGGGTCGGCGCATGACTAAGGCGCGATACTAAAACAAATTCTTGCCACGAGCTAAGAGAGACTGTTCTAGTCCGAGGTAAAGACGAGCCTCGTCCAGAGATCGAGCATTCAGGAGAAGACAAAAATCTCGGCCAGTCGGGCCACTTCTCACGGCGGCTGCTTTGATCTCGGAACACGCGCAGCCCTTCGCTACCATCGTCGCTACCATCGCTGCTACCATCGCCACCACCACCATCGTCCAGCAGCGTCCTCTCGCCCTCGAAAAAGCAGAAGACCAACGCCGACACCGCCCTATGCCTTTCATTCGGTTTTACTATTATTACGCATACCGTCACGCATCCTCGAGCGATCCTCGGCATCGGGTCCTAACCTTTACGCTTGCCTACCTCCTCGCGGATATATTGCGACAAAAAACATTGTCAACATTTTCATTCGTATAGTCGTTTTACGACGATACCTTAGGGATTAATTTCGAATCGATCGAACTCGACGAGTTGAATAACGAAATAAGGAAGAAGACACGTCTCGTTTGCATATTTTTTTTTCTTTTCCTTTTTGTTTTTTTTTTCTTTTTTTTTTTTTTTTTTTTGAGACAGAGAGAGAGAGAGAGAAGAAAAAAGTGAAAAAAAAAGAAAAAATAAGAAAAAAGGAAAAAACGAAGAAAAGAAATGTTGGAGAAGTTGTCGCTGGCACGGACGGACCACTTCGTGCCATTATGCCGGACGAATACGAAATTCGTGACTGGGGGTTGACGATCGAGCCGTCCCACGACGAGAGATCAACTCCGAATGCGTCTGCCGTCCCATCAAGGATGCCCGCCGCGTGCGATCCGGCGCGTCGTTCTGCGCCTTCTTCCGTGCCTCCTTTCCGCACCAGTCCACTCTTTTCTTTGGCCCGCCCTGATTTTATCGTGCCGAGGCCTCTCATAACCTCTAAATGTTTTCGTCGCCTTTACCGGATCGCTATCGCCGGTACGCGCGAAACGGCACAAACCGCAGGGATCTTTCAAGAAACGAACTTTTTTCAGAAGATCCCTCAATTATATTCGTTGTTAATTTAAAAAAGAGAATTTTTAATTTGCGAGGGATTCTCGAGCGATCGAAGAGACAAAAAGTTTGTGGAAAAAGGTAAGCTACGTAATGACGTTCGGCCACGAGGAAGAGAGAAAAGGATAAGAAGAAGAAGAAGCAGAAGCAAAAGACGATGACGAGGAAGGACGCAAAAGAGGCGGTCGCCAAAGTGACCGAGGCGGAAGATGGCTACGATCAAGAGCATCTTTTTCTCTCCCTTTCTCCCTCTCTCTCTCTCTCTCTCTCTCTAGGTCTTTTGAACGCGCGCACTCGGCCGTCCTTCGGATGAGAATTATCCCCGATAAAAAAAGGAGCGCGCGTAAATCAACTAATTTATCGTTTTTGCGATTGAGGAGAGAAGGTGGGCCGTCGTCGAACATACACTGGCGGAATGGCAGGAATCTCTTTTGGCGGGTTCTACGGGTTGTCCTCGCGCGGACCTTCTCTCTCTCTCTCTCTCTCTCTCTCTCTGACTCTCTCTCCCCTCTTCCTCGCAGCTTCTCCGTGGGAAAGAATATCGGCTGACGTTTGGGACCACACCGTCGAATTATCGGTGTTTTGGCATGTTATAAGGGCCCACGTTCTTCTCTCCCTCTTCTTCATCCTCCTTACCACTCTCTCTCTCTCTCTCTCTCTCTCTCTCTCTCTCTCTCTCTCTCTCTCTCTCTCTCCGTCTCTCTCTCTCTCTCTTTCTCTCTGCCCCTCGCGATCCTCGACGGTCGGCTCGGTCCAAGCTCGGTTCAGGTCGGTCCAGCTCCTCCCCCCCATATTCCGCACGGGCGTGCGAGCAAAGAGAATCTCTCGCGGAATCCGCGTCCTCTTCGACTGTGGGAACGTAGGGGTACGAAATCGCGGACTCCCTGGAACCGTGTTTCCACGCGTCGACGACACGAGATTCCTTTTCTAAGAGACTGCACACGTCCAAGGTCCGAAGCCTTAGCCTTATCCGACGAATCTTCGGAAAGAACTCGATAAGAGACCACCTCGAAAGATCTCGTGCGTCAATCCCACGGGAAGAAAGCGACCAAATGGACTCACCACCGTCAAAGGTACCGAGAGTCCTTCGTATGGTTCCCCCTTACGAGAAGCTCATTACTTTTTTCCGTGCTCGCGCAGGATGAATGACTTAATTTTAGGAGAGCGAGAGTAACAGGGGTGGTCGCATAGGAAGACGTATTATGGGTACGTCGCGGGGAACGTCACGAGCACCGTGACGAATCACTGAGGTACCGCCAGGAAAATCAACGATCCGATTCCCTTTCATTCGAAAAACACACACGCTCGGCCCTTCCTTCCTTTTTCGCCTTCTTATCCTGTCCTTATTCGCTCTTATTCCTGGCCGCATCCAATTCGATCGTTGCGCTTTACGACACATGTACGACGAAAGGGTATTACGAGATAACACACGGTTTTTCCGAAGAAAAGGAGGGAAAAAACAAAAAAAAGAAAAAGAACAAAAAAAGAAAAAACAAAAAAAAAAGAAGAAAAAGAAAAAACGAAAGAAAAAGAAAAAATTCCGAAAACCTTTGACTCGAGTCACAAGAAATAGACGCAAGAACGAGACAATTTTCTCTGTGTCGAGTGAAAGTGGGATATAAACAAATAGAGCGAGACACGATTAACATTATGGCAGGTAGAGGGAAGGCGGAAGGGGAGAGAAAGCGATAGAGAATCAAAGACGTATACCTGGAGAGGAAGCAACATCCTCTTATTTCACAAACGCCGAAGAGGAGCGACGTTATTATTAATGTCGAACAAAAAGCCTAAAATACATCATTCGGGCGCCGGCGGCCACCTAAGTAGCCAGCAAAGGAGGATTCGTGGGCCGGTCGGCCGACACCAAGAGACTACGATAATTAATGGTTTTACGATATTGGAAATATCTCGCGTCCACTCGAGCAGAATTCATCGAGGCGTCAAAACAAAGACTCTTTCTCGGCGCGTTCACGATCGTCTACGGTGGTCTTCGTGAATCATCGCTAGTCCGATTTTTTACTCGATTTCGCTGGACGACCTTTTAGCTTTTTTCCCTTTACGTCGACTAGACGCCGACTAGTCTTTGGAAATGTTCCATTTCCAAAGGGTTTCGGAGCACGTCGACGTTGCGAACGGAACTTCGCGAAGGGAACTTCGCGAAGAAGACGAAGAGGAAGAGGAAGGAGGTACTCGTACCAGTGCGCAAAGACGAGACCACCTGGTCATTCGAGAACTCGACTCATTCTTCTGTCCGACGTTGTACGAGAAAGAAGAAGAGCGATTCCTGGTAAATTAGCATATACCTACTCTCCTTGGATCAGCGGCTTTAGGGGGTATCCACAATCTCTTTGTTCTCACTATTTGATTCACGGAGAGAATTCGATCCTTCGGAGAACAAAGCGTCTCGACTTTGACGCTAACGCCATTCTTTAGATAAGAGAGAAACTTACGAATTTGCGCCTTTGCAGGATGAAAGGAGAGAACGATGAAAAGAAGCGACTCGAAGAAAAGGAAGAAGAAGAAGAAGAAGAAGAAGAAGAAGAAGAAGAAGGAGGGCGACGACAAGGGCAAGGAAAAATTACGTGGCTCGGCTGCATT